TTTTTTAAAACGAAAACAGAAAATCTCCGTTTTCAAAAATACCCGTGTACGTGTGGACGTAGCCTGAGTTATTTGAACATACTCTGATCTGCTGTTCTAGAACAGCAAACTCAGAGTGTGTTCAAGCTGATTTAAGCTAGTGCATGAGGAGTGAAAGAAAGTCATTCTCCATGGAAAACCGATACTAGGATTCACCATGGCAACGGGTAAAGAGCAGAGCATTTCAATTTATGGTATAGTTGGATATTTCAAGACATTTTAAATAGGAATACAGATCATAAACATAAAAAAACCTTCTATGAATAGATCCAGATGTGATCAGCTGAGGAATGGCTGGAGTCTAATTGATCTGGGATTGATGCGGTCTAAATCTGTGATTTAAAATAAGATCCACTTTGGATCCAGACACAGTTTACTGATCTGTTACAGACCCTATGATTTCGTCAAGTTGATCTGGTTCTGGTTCGAACCACCCAGACTGATTTCAATGATTTTCAGTGAAAAATATCTCAAAGCTCAGACTCTAAAATTCAAATACTGTACCTAAATCTGTGAACACATTTCAAAGTGAAATTTTGGGAACACAGATTGTCTGCAGGCTTCATTTAAAACATTAGTTTTTGTTTAATGTTAGACTCTTAAAGTCATCATCTCCAAGATCCAATTGTGACAGACATTTTTAGGTCAGTGTAACTTATTATAATAAGATAAACAATTGATCAATGTGTAACATACAGTAAATATTTTCGGTACAAAGGGACAACATCAGATGGAGTCTTTTAGATTTTATTCTGAGCTGATAATAAATCTGTGATGTAATCGCTGTCCTTATGTATTGACAACCAAATGGAGTCTGTTATCCTGGTAACTCACTAAGAGTTGAAGTGAACTCTCTTTCTGAAACAAGAAACCTGAGTTTCCACCGTCTCAATTTTAACAAATTCAGAGATGTTAGCTAGACCTCCTTTCTGGAATAGGACGGTTTTATCTATCAAAGGTGGAGTGCTGCACAAGCTTCCCCATTGGTCCCGCCTCCGGGTCTAGTTGGCTCCGGGGGTGGGGGTGGGGGGAGGGGGGTAGAGGAAGAACATTATATATATATATAGTATATACATTGAGTGAATGTGCAGTAGTAGCAGCAAGCAGGTGAATTCTGTACATTTATAAGAATAGAAATCTGACTATTTTACAGAATAGACAATATAAACATATTTAAAATTAAAGGAATT